GAGCGACATGAAAGAAAAGGTGATTGAAGAAGACAGAAGCCCAGTTTTCTACTTCCTGCCATGCTAACTGTCCAATAAAGCGATATTTGTTTTCATCTCTTTTCACTTAATAAAATGATAATAATAACTATCACATACTGAAGGTTTGCCACATGCTGGACATTGAACTAAGGCCTTTATGGTTATTATCTCACCTAATCCTTTCACAACTTAGGCAGCACAGATTATTCCCACTTCATGGATGAGAAAACTGAGGCTCAGAGAGAAAGAAGTAGATGCCCAAAGTCACTCAGCTAGAAAGCAGCAGAGCTATCATTGGAACCCTTGTTATATTTTCTACACAGGAAACATATTCACACACAAAATTACATTAAGACATTGAAAAGGGTTCTGTGTCTGTGGTCCTTGGAGAAGACAGGGACCCCTTATCTTCACTGGGCAGACAAATCTGACAACACGCTCAGGCCTGAGCCCGCCCTGTGAGAAGGGCCCTGGCCAGCTAGCCCACGTCCAGGGAGATGACCGTGATGGCGAGAAGGTCCTGAGAGGGATGCGTGGGGAGTATGGTGCTGAGAGTCAAATAAATGTCAGGGGCCCAGAGGCCACACGGGCACCTCAGGTGGGCCAAGTTCTTTGGGTTCAGCCCAACTTTTCTGAGTCCAGACCATGAAGCCAGTTGACTACCTCCTGGTCATCTCCTTTCGATGTCCACGGGCACTCCAGTCCAGCATGTCCCAACGGAACACCCCCTCCAACCTGCTCCTCCTCTGGGGGCCCTCCCTTCAGGAATGGCACCATCATCCACCCTTTAGTCTGAGCCAAAGACTCAGAGTCATCCTCAACTCCTTCCTCTCTAAGTCACTCCCATTCAAGCCCAGTCAGTCCAACCCCTCCAATCACTACCAAATTCAGATACATCTCGATCCCTACAGCCCCCTGCTTAGTCCAGCCACTGTCATCTTCACCTGGACTTTGCAGTAGCCTCCTGCCAGGTCTCCTACCTCCAGCATTGCCCCTCTCCCAACCATTCCCCACCCTGTGACCAACTTCCTGAGTCCGTATTCCAGCACATCACTCCCCTGGTCCCTCTCAGCCCAAGGAACCCAGCTGGAGAGAGAAGAGAGAGAGAGACCAATTCCCTTGGGCTTTCTAGTTCATGCCCCCACCCACCGAGCTGACTCCCTGCTCTCGGTCCCCCTGTCCATCAAGCTGATCTCTGGTCTGTTTCCCATCACGTGCCCTTTTCCATGCATTGCTCTCCCTCCCTCCTGCCTGTGCCTGTGTCTGCAGGGATCTCCTTCTCCAAGTGACTCTCATGATGCCTGTCCGTGTTCTCATGACTCCTTCTCTCCCTTTGCCTTCCACAGCATCCCCTGACAAGCTACACGGATACACTATAACCCCAGAGAGCGAACGTTCTATTTATTTTGTGTATATCTGGAGTAGTCTTTTCCGTTCTTAGATCTTAGACATTTGCATGGTTGAATGAGAACTCTTCATTCCTGACATCTGGGCAGGACTTTCCACCTCTCAAAGTCCTGTCACATTCTGTTCTCAGTGATCTCCACAAAGCTGTGGGCTAAGAAGGACGGGGGTTATTACTCCCGATTTACTGAGATCTGCCAGAAACTGCAGAGCCAGGATTCAAACCCGGGTCCTCGAACACCACGCCTGGACTCTTCCCACTCCACTCCGTGGCTCCAAAAGAAAGATGAACGAAATCTGTTCTTACCCAAGAACCCTATCCCTGACTCTTTCCTCTGTGCCAGCCTGCCTACAAACCAGCGAAACCAGGCCTTTCTCCCGATTGCCATGAGTCACCAACATCAGAGGAGGAAGCTGCCAGGACACTCGGTTGTCCAGCGTGACTGCTCTTACATCTTGTCTCGGAACTCACCTCTCGGCTGTGGGAATCATCTCGGTGGGAAAGCACCCCCCGCAGCCCCGGGGAGCGATCTGCTTCTCGGGTTGTCCTTTGAGCTTCTCCAGCCTCTTGGTTATGACTGCTCCACCCCGTTCTCTTCACAGCACCCAGAAAACTCACGGAAAAGGCAAACATCCAGTCAAATATTTACCAGCGAAATCGAAGCAAGCGGGTGGCCTTCTTCCTTGTTTCTGAACGCTGCTGGCTGTTCTTCTGCTCTTCCTCCCCTTCTCACGCTGAGTCAACAGGAACCTCCCTCCTACTTCCCCTCTCCTGGGCCCTTGTTGTCTCTTATAGGCCCTCTGAGCCATCAGAGCTTTGCCCAGCGGAGGCCTCTAGCTGGCTGTAAAAATTATTACCAGCAATCCAGTAGGACTGTGCCTCAAGCAATAAACGAGGAAACTGGAACCACTCACTGATTTTAAGATTCTCCTTGGAAACAAGGCTGCCCATTTACTGGGAGAAAGGGTTGGAGACAAGTTAAAAATGAATCCCACATTAAAAAAAAAAAGAAGAATCCCACAGATATGGCGGAGAATGTGATAAGACTTCTAAGTTACCATAATTGCCCATGGATTCTAAATGCCTACCCTTTTCCAAATGATCTTCTGGGGCTTAATGGCAACTAGACTCTAGGTAGTCACTGCATCCATCAGCTCCTAAGCCAGTCTACGGCCCCACCACACTTTTATCACCCGTAAGTTGCCTGTGGCTCCTCCCCTTCTCCATTCATTATGCCTCCTGATGGTTCTAATCCATCCATTTGTGCCAGAGGGTTCAGGGTGTGGGTATGTCTTGCTCACTTCCTCTTTTTCCTTGTGCCAGCATGGAGTTGGTGTTCAGAATGGTGGAGCCACAACCTGGAAGGAGCCTGGGCCCCTGAGTCAACACTGAAGGAGAATAGGAATAGCCGTTTAGATTTTACATGAATAAGCAATAAAATTCTATGTTAGGACCATTATACACTTCGGAGTTGGCTATAGCACCTAGTTCTTATCCTAATCAACACACTGCATTTTCCATCCACACTGCCTCTGCCCCAGATCCAGGCCTCTGTACCTCCTGTCTAGACTATGGTAAGAGCTCTCTAATGGCCTTGCAGCTCCTAGGCTCTAGGCTCAGTGCATACATACATACACCTCCCTGCAGCACAACTCAGATCTGTCACACCCCTGCCAAGCACCGTCCCATACTCTGCACTCCCAACTCGAGCACTCCAATCCAAGCCTTCCAAGAAGTTGCTTTAACCTTCTTTTCCACCTAATCTCCACTGGTTTCCTACACACATCTACAGGGTTTTTTAAGTTGCTTATTCTGGATCTTCAGGGAGCAAGGAACAGAGATCCACTCAAATTGCCCTGAGTTAAAGGGGCTTCCTATTACTCTCCGGCCAGGGTTGGGGTCCAACCTGGGAAGGTGTTGGAAACTGAGGTTCTTGGGAATAGCTCTTCCCCTCTCGTGGCCAATGGGTTTCTCTTTCTCTCATCTCTCTCCCTCTTGGTATTTTGGCTTCAATCTATTCTCTCTGCAGTTCAGTCCCTTTGCTTCCTTATGATTTCCACTCTCCCCTGGTTTCAACTCAGCACTGTCCTGACTCTAGCTCACATCACCCTTTCACCTTCTACCCGAAAAATTCACTGGCTCCTTTCCAGGGTTTCCCCAGGTCTAACTACCGGGAGAAAAGATCTACCCCAGTTTATCTTTTCCCCCAGGTAGGACACAGGCTAGTCTATGCTCTTCTGTCTTTGGCTCAATCCCACACCCCTTATATTAGTTTTCCTAGGGCTGCCATGATAAAATGCCACACACGGGGTGGCTTAAACAACAGACATTCATTATTTCACAGTTCTGGAAGCTGGAAGTCCAAAATCAAGGTGTCAGCAGGTTTGATTTCTACTAAGACCTCTTTCCTTGGCTCGCAGAAGGCTGCCTTCTCACTGTGTCCACACATGGCCTTTCCTCTGTGCAGGTGCGTCCCTGGTGTCTCTGTCTGTCCTAATCTCTTCTTATGATGCCACCAGTCAGGTTGGATTAGGGCAGTGATGGCGAACCTTTTGAGTTCGGCATGTCAGCATTTTGAAAAACCCTAACTTAACTCTGGTGCCGTGTCACATATAGAAATTTTTTGATATTTTCAACCATAGTAAAACAAAGATTTGTATTTTTGATATTTGATATATTTAAATGCCATTTAACAAAGAAAAATCAACCAAAAAAATGAGTTCGCGTGTCACCTCTGACACGCATGTCATGGGTTCGCCATCACTGGATTAGGGCCTACCCTAATGGCCTTATTTTAACTTAATTACCTCTTTAAAGGTCTTATCTCCAAATACAGTCCCATTCTAAGGTACTGGGGTTAGGGCTTCAATATATGAATTTGGGGGGGACAGTACCCAATCCATAACACCCCTGGTCTAAGCAGCTTTGGTGGGGTGGGAGAGGGTCATGGAGGCAGTGAGCAGGCACCATCACTGACAAACTCAGGCCATTGGTGTTTGCCCACCTTGATCCCTTTACTCCCACCCAGAGCACACTCTCCACCTCTGCTCCCCACCATCGTCTTTGTTCATTAAGTCTTACCTCAAGCATCATATCTGGCATGAAGTGTCTCCTGATCACCAGGTATAATCTTATTTCCCCTGGCTTGGTTTACATCTCTTTCACAGCATGTATTTAGGCCTTTATTTGTTTAATGTATTTAACGCATATTTATGGCGAAGCAGGCTGGTGCAGTGGTTCAGAGTGTGGACCGTGGGGCCAACTCCACCATTTACTAGCTGTGTAGCTCTGGGCAAGGTACATGGCTTAGCTCTCTGAGCCTCAGTTTTACCTGAGATAAGGCACACCTGCTTGATGGACATGTGAAGTTGAAGTGACCTAATACACATACAACGCTCAGGGGGGGCCTCACGGGCAGTAAGTGCTCAGTGGCATGAGCTGTTCCTGGGCGCCTGTTCTCTGCCTGGTCCTGACTGCATGTGACCACACAGTCACGTCACAGTTCAGGCGTCCAGGTCTCAGCTCCCCTGCTGGATCACAGCGGCCAAGAGGTCACGACTCGACCTGATTCAGCATGACGTCTCTGGGGTACAGGGGAGGCCCCGTAAGTGCTGGTTCTCAAAATTGAAAATAATGGAAGAAAAATGAAAAAGACAGAAATATAAAGATCGCGTACAACATCACTCTCTTCCTCGATGCCTAGAAACAAAGAAACACTGCAAATGTGTTTTCTCTGGAGCCGGGCCCTCTCTGTGCCTGGAAGAAGCAGTTCCTGAGGCATCCATGCCGCATGCTTCCGGGAAAAGACTTGCAAAGTGCTGCTTCTTCCGGGCGCACGGAGATGCTATCCCTTTGGGGAGCGCCCACCTGCCAGATGCTTCCTGGCTCCACTGCTCAGGCTCAAACGGACACTCTAAACTCTGATCATGCTAGTTCTTCTCACAACTCCTCTCTTCACACCCTTAAGGAAGAGTCATTTTGAACTGCACTGACCACCCTGAGGAGGCTGGGAAGGGAGCCACCTTCAAGGGGGAGAAACACTAAGACACTTGTTATGAAGTGTTTAAGTTCAGGAAAATTCCACCCATAGAAATAAGGACCCATTTCTAAGGGGTGACCATGCTGCAGACATGACCCCTTTTGAACCTGAAGTCAAACCTGTGCAATAGATTTCATTTTCCCTCTCCCATACTTTCTCAGTTTAGTGTTGAATCAAAACATAGAACTTACATGGATCCGGAGAATATGTCAATATTTGATTTGTCTCTACCATTCTAATCTATTGCCTCTCTTATCCAATGTACACTGATTCCTGTTTAAGGCTTTGGGGCATTTGAATACTTTTGCGAATTCATCCAGGTTATTGATAAAAACCTGAATAGAACAGAGCCCTAGAGCACTCCACTAGAGACCTCTTTCCAGGAGCCAGGTAACGATGCTGCAGGCAGCTGGCAAAGAGTGGGAAAGAGATGACTGACTACACCCGAACTCGGGTTAGGAAGGGTTAGTGTGTTTAGTTCTGTGTTCAGCA